CTGGTTACACAAGTATTCATCTGGAGTAATTTCTTCATATTTTTCATCGAAAAATATGTAGGAGTGGTCATTTAAAATGAGGTATTTGGTTTGAGGAAAAATTACTTTAAAATAATTTTTCATTGAGGTGTAGGTAAGGCATACATATGATAATACCTGTACATTTCGCTTTCTACTATGGGTATTTCAAGAATAAAAATTATTTGGTATCCTTTACTGTAACTTTTAATTTCGATTATTTTCTCAAACATTAGAATATTTTATAATTTTTCTTAAAATGGAAGTCTATTAACTTTTAATTGTTTACTAATTAACATTGTTTCGGCTGGAAGCTCATGAGGTTCAATTATTGAATTGTGAAATGTATTCAGTTTAGAAAATAAAATGGCTACTTCAATCTTCTCTAAAATATTATAAATTAATTGATAAACTGAGATTATTTGTGAAATTACTGTATCGGTGACAAGGTACTAATAGAATTTTAATTTTTTTAAAAATGTTTAATTTTTTCTACTCTGTTTAATAAGATTTGTTCGTTATGAGCCAGGGTACTCGTGCTATTTTTAATAGTCATTTACAGAATTTTGTAAAAGTGTAATTTGACTCGCAGCTAAATTTTTTAGTTTTGATTGGTTTTCTGAAAATAATGCTATTGATTTATCATACTTTTCAGCATCATCTTGAGCTAAATTGCCTGTTAAAAATCTAATAGTTAAGCCAAGTCCGTTTAATATTCCTTTTTTTGTTTCTATTGTGATTTAATGGATTTAACTGTATTAATTGATTACGTATTTTTTGTTCTAAATTTTTTATTAGATTACAAGCATTTTGAAATTCATCAATTGGCTTGGAATTTGTAATATTTTGGTATGTTGATTAAAATTTGCTTTAATTGTTTCAAATTCTTTAACTACATCTGAAATATCAAAAATTTGGATAAATGACCAAAAATCTATTTTATTTTGAGTATTACCAAATTTGTAGAGCAAAAGACCAGGGTTATTATTAAGGTTATGGAATTTGGGATAGGATACTTCACCTCAGAGGTGGATGGATAACCTGTAACAAGTGGAGGTTGTTTTAATTCTTTTATATGGATTATTTCTTTTTTGTTTTTATTTCGTTTTTCGGTAATTTCTACTTTATTTCTGTCTAAGATATTAGTGATTTCGTATGGACCAATGAATTTATTATTTTTTTTTACTACGATATTGAGAATTTTGTTTAAATACTATTTGACCTAATTTAAAATTATTATTTATGTCTTCTTCCTTATTTCTTTTGTCAGCTATTTTTTGTTTTTGATTTTATATATTTTTTCTTACATCATTATGTATATATGTTCAAGTTTTTTTTGTATGACTCTCAGCATAATCTGTAAAAAATGACATTGGAATAAAAATTTTGTTAGGGTTTCGTGAGTCTGTATGTCCTAAGGTCAGTTCAAAAGGGGTATAATTTGTCGAGCTATGTATTGAATTGTTATAACCTAAGATAGCATAATTAATTAAATCGTCATTATCGTTTAGATAAGTTTCTTTTAGTAATCTTAGGTATCAATATAAAGTTAAAGCATTTGTTGATTAGTTATTGATTAACAACTGATTCAAATAACCCTGTTACTTCTTTTAAACTATTATCGTCAACCATTAAAAAACAAATTTATCTAAATTTAATTTAAAATTGTATTCTAACCAAATTAAATTTTATTCTCTTGATTGATTTGAAAATTACAGCTACGATATCTAAGATAAAGGACGTATAAAAGGAATTTTTTGACTTACAGTACTATGAAGAAAATTTGTATTTTCCCCAATTGGATATGTGGACGATGTGGTCCCTCTTCCCTGGATGGTTTTAGAAATTTGTTCTCCAATAGGATATGGACGATTTGATTCCGTTTTCCTGGACAGCTTCTTGAATCTACATAAGTATCTTCTGGAGTCACAAGTTCGTTATTGCAAATAAACCGTTGGGACGGGCTGGTTACGCGATTTATGTCAAACCATTTTACAATCCTACTGACTGCGCCAAATAAATGTGATTAAGTCCAAAAACGTTCCCTACGGGTCACTTTCAAGCTCGTTACGTGAGGTTTTCAAACTAGAGACTTTGGCTCTCTTATAGATATCCTCGAGTATTTCAATATACTCTACATTTATGCCTCTAGTTTTAGTTTACTCTCATTTTTTTAGAAGGCATTGTCATCGACAGTCTTAAACCCGACTAATCCATCAAAAAGGTCGCTATAAGGTATTTTAATGTGCCACTGCCCTAATACTAATTATTTATGCATCTTTTAAAACTTTTGTAAACTCTTTCACTCCCATACCTCTGTTAACCATCAGGTCCAAAGCTTGTCTTAATGTTTTCTAATCCCAATATCAAGTTCTATGATTTTCTGTTTTTTCTCACCTGTTCTCACCTTAAACGTAATATACCTATAGACTATTCTATATAATGCTTCCTCCAATGTGTTTCTACATTCTACAACTTTGTGACTAAATAATTTATTTGCAATTTATTTAACATTTATAATAAAACTGGTTTAGGATAATTTTATTAAAATATACGTTTTCTTCGTAAATATAGACGACTATATGTAGATTGTCATTATTTACCTAGTCATCACTAAAATCACTAACTTTTAATTTGGTTGCATCATTATATTTAAAAATACACCTACAGTTAGTTTAAAAGATTTGTCATATAAACATAAACATAAACATAAACATAAACATAAACATAAACATAAACATAAACATAAACATAAACATAAACATAAACATAAACATAAACATAAACATAAACATAAACATAAACATAAACATAAACATAAACATAAACATAAACATAAACATAAACATAAACATAAACATAAACATAAACATAAACATAAACATAAACATAAACATAAACATAAACATAAACATAAACATAAACATAAACATAAACATAAACATAAACATAAACATAAACATAAACATAAACATAAACATAAACATAAACATAAACATAAACATAAACATAAACATAAACATAAACATAAACATAAACATAAACATAAACATAAACATAAACATAAACATAAACATAAACATAAACATAAACATAAACATAAACATAAACATAAACATAAACATAAACATAAACATAAACATAAACATAAACATAAACATAAACATAAACATAAACATAAACATAAACATAAACATAAACATAAACATAAACATAAACATAAACATAAACATAAACATAAACATAAACATAAACATAAACATAAACATAAACATAAACATAAACATAAACATAAACATAAACATAAACATAAACATAAACATAAACATAAACATAAACATAAACATAAACATAAACATAAACATAAACATAAACATAAACATAAACATAAACATAAACATAAACATAAACATAAACATAAACATAAACATAAACATAAACATAAACATAAACATAAACATAAACATAAACATAAACATAAACATAAACATAAACATAAACATAAACATAAACATAAACATAAACATAAACATAAACATAAACATAAACATAAACATAAACATAAACATAAACATAAACATAAACATAAACATAAACATAAACATAAACATAAACATAAACATAAACATAAACATAAACATAAACATAAACATAAACATAAACATAAACATAAACATAAACATAAACATAAACATAAACATAAACATAAACATAAACATAAACATAAACATAAACATAAACATAAACATAAACATAAACATAAACATAAACATAAACATAAACATAAACATAAACATAAACATAAACATAAACATAAACATAAACATAAACATAAACATAAACATAAACATAAACATAAACATAAACATAAACATAAACATAAACATAAACATAAACATAAACATAAACATAAACATAAACATAAACATAAACATAAACATAAACATAAACATAAACATAAACATAAACATAAACATAAACATAAACATAAACATAAACATAAACATAAACATAAACATAAACATAAACATAAACATAAACATAAACATAAACATAAACATAAACATAAACATAAACATAAACATAAACATAAACATAAACATAAACATAAACATAAACATAAACATAAACATAAACATAAACATAAACATAAACATAAACATAAACATAAACATAAACATAAACATAAACATAAACATAAACATAAACATAAACATAAACATAAACATAAACATAAACATAAACATAAACATAAACATAAACATAAACATAAACATAAACATAAACATAAACATAAACATAAACATAAACATAAACATAAACATAAACATAAACATAAACATAAACATAAACATAAACATAAACATAAACATAAACATAAACATAAACATAAACATAAACATAAACATAAACATAAACATAAACATAAACATAAACATAAACATAAACATAAACATAAACATAAACATAAACATAAACATAAACATAAACATAAACATAAACATAAACATAAACATAAACATAAACATAAACATAAACATAAACATAAACATAAACATAAACATAAACATAAACATAAACATAAACATAAACATAAACATAAACATAAACATAAACATAAACATAAACATAAACATAAACATAAACATAAACATAAACATAAACATAAACATAAACATAAACATAAACATAAACATAAACATAAACATAAACATAAACATAAACATAAACATAAACATAAACATAAATCTTGTTGATTCATTTTCATTCTGTTTTTATATCCATTTAGTTGACTAATATGATAATACTATTTTCAGGGTATTATAAAAGTTTCTGTAATGTGGTACAAGAGAGAAGAAATAATAATACTTTTAGAAGAAATAAAGACAGAATTCTGGCCGTATAATTTAAATGACGAGAGCAAGAAGTTTTTGGCTAATATTTATATGTATCTAGTAGTATATATGATTGTTTTTTTTATAATGGGTGAGTAGGTAGTTAATTACGGAATTTATTTTTAATGTAATATTATTATTAATTAATGTTTATTGGCTTAGTGGAGAATAAGCTTTAAGTTTACTATACTTCCACAAAACATTTTTAAAGTCATCGCTGGTCCTGCGATTATGTTTTAATTTGAAAAAAGATGGAAAGTTGGTCGTAAAAACAAAATTTATCTTGCATTTATTATTCCATTTTACAAGCATAGAGTAATTGGGCATTCCAAACAAAATAGCTACCAGTGGGTTTTGACAGGTTATGATATGGTAAAATTATCGCAACCCTGTAGGCCTGGTGATTTGACAAGGTCAATGAAATAAATAGTTACATAGATTGCTCATCCGTATTTTTCAAAATAAACATAAGCTTATGCCTTGAAGTAAAAAATGTAGGTAACTATTTTTTTACTGTATTCAAAGGCTAGATATTGGTTTGTAAACACATTTTTGCAAAATAGATTCTGATTAATGAGAACTTGCGAGGCAATATAACTGCTCGTAAACGACGCGCTTTGAGCAATCTATATAACTATATACGTATCATTGTACGTGTCAATGACAAGACTCCATATACTTTGATTAGTATCTTCGAGCATTTTCGAAGATTACTATACGGTGCAATAGAGACGTCCTACATGCCTATGACATGCCCAACATAGGGCGCGGCCATTTTGATGCCTTTACTACTAGGTTAGGCAACACATATTTTTCCAAAATGTTAAACTGGTAGCCTACATCTTGATATTTTGAGATTTTAAATGAAGGCAACAAATGTAGAAGAAACGTTTATTTATTTTAAATAATATACAGGAAACTTATTATAATTGCGAGTGCATCTTGAATTAGAGGTGAGTGGTTCTAATTATTTCTAAAGCTGTACATGTGATTTTATCTTAATGTAATGTTGTTTTTTGCCAGTCTCATGCCCATGAAAAAACATTTTATTTTTGTAATGTAATAAAAATCTTTAAGGATAAACAATCTAATATTATATTTTGCATTTTTTTAGCTGTACATTTGGTACGAAACTATAAAACAATAACAAAGAAATGTAAGATTAAAGAAGCTCTAAAAGATATTACCAGAGGAATATACTCTTGCAGGTAAGCTGCAACAATTTATATAAAAAGAAGGACACTTTTATTAATACCCTCTTAAAGTTCAAGCTAAGAAATGGTGAAAATTCAGGAAAGGAAATCAAATGTAAAAAAATCAAAATATGGTAGTAAACAGGCTTTTATAAACTAATCCAAGAACTTTTGGTCGAGTCTCTACAATTCACTATGGTTTAAACTATGCTCAAGTGATATCTTTAGGATACAAGTTATTCCATATATGTATAATATACAAAGGATGTTCTAACTCTACTTTTGAGAGGTTACAGCTTTCTCAGAATAAGGCAACGAGAGCTATTTTAGGATGTAGCAGATATTCGCTCCGTGCGCGACGGCAGCGCCAATTCGTTTTGGTACTAATGGACTATTTCTGCGTATACTGAGAAAGATACAATTTTTAATAGAATTCGTAATTAAAAAGTATATATGTTAGTTTTAATAAAAGTATATGGATTTGTAAAATAAGTGAAACATTAATTTATTATTGTTATATATTTTTATCGCTTAAATTAAAGAAAATTATGTATAATCAATAAAAATCAATAATAAAATATAGGTAGGCAACAGTATTTACTGGAAAATGTATAAGAAGTTGCCTAAGTCCTATAAGTTGTCATTGAAGAATTAGCTTATTCTGTCAAAATTAAAAAATACCATTTAATAATAGCGTAAAGTTAAAATATATAAAAAAAGGATCGTTATTTATATTTTCATTTTTGTTCGGAAGAAAACATAGAATGAATGATTAAAACTGGTTTCCCATCAGTAAGTCACAAAATTGCATTCCAGCTACATATAATAATCAAATGCAGAAATCTTGAAATCTATTCCTTGCTGAATGAACATTTAAGGATAAAGGGATATTAAAGAACATCGTAACATGATAATTTATTGTTTATTTAAAACCTTTCAAGTTTCTGATGTCTACTATTTCCAGTATTACTGTTATTATTACAAAAATAAAGGTAATTTTTCTTCTTATTGTAAACTTATCCATTTATTTCTTTGATTTAATTTCCACTTTGCTACTGAAATTTTTTATATAAGTTTCACTGTTTTTTTTGCTAGTATTTGTACAATTTTCAACACAGCAACTCCGGTTGCTTATTGTATTGTTTTTACCTACTTTTTTGAAAAAAAGTAAAATGTATACGTGTATTTGATATGCCAAAATTACAAAATATCGCCCTAAAATGCACGAATTATCCGCAGCTAGCGCTAGTATCGCTTTTGCTTCCCTTTCCATAACTTCGCACGGAGCGAATAGCATTCAGCTTATGTTGACTACGTTGAACTGGTTGAATATGGGACAGTTTCTATGTGCAGGCAATGACCTTAATTTTTAAAATAGTAAATAATGTGTTGATTTGTCAACTTACTCCTATTTCTTACATACATCAGTGTCATCAGTACCATACAAGAGCTGCGAATCTATTAATTTTTGTGTTATAACAAGTAGGAAGGCAGAGTTCAAATTAATCAATTATCTCATGATATAAACTCCTTTTAAAAAGGTAAATTATTTTAACAGTAACTAGTTATGTTAAAACTTTCAGCCTAGTCGTCTTGTGTGTTTGTGTTATTTTGTCATCGCTTATTTATTTATTTATTATGTACCTATTTATTTTCAAATACTCTTTACTTTTCTACATTTATGTAGGTATCTTATTTTTTGTATGAATTAAATATAATCTAATAAATGGTTTTTATGTTTCCTAAAAAGATTTTTAATCTTCGTGATGTAGGTATACAGAACACAGTGAGATGATGCAGTCCCTATAGTTATATTATTTAAATGTTTATATATAATTGGCAAATAAACATTATTATTATTAATATTATTATTAGATAACTACTTTATTTTGAAAATTAAATCTTTTGAGTTTGATGTTAATTTCAGTAATTACCAAATTAAGTAGTCCTATTTTTATGTTGTTTTTTTTTTTACTTCAAAATATGTGTATATTAGTCACAAATAGTTTTTTTTATTTAAAATACACATCATAGTTATACCTACTAAAAATATCTCAAATATGTCCCCACTCCCCTATGTACTTTTACAAATGAGTCAAGAAATAAAATATATTATTTAAAAAAATTAAAGGTCTATAGTCAGGGTGCCATAAGTCCATAACTCATGGAACTAGATGTAATTCCACCTTAAAGTTACTATGGATCAATAATTTACTCGAGTAGGTAAAACATAATTAGACTGATAAAACCTTGTACATTCAAAATAAAAGTTTAAACATTTATACAATTAAACAATAGTTAGAAAAAAGATGATTTCTATTAATATATGCAGATTAAGATTGTGTACCTAGAAATGTGTTTGTTTGTCTTTCAAAACTGCCTGATTATTGAGAGTCAAGATTAGTTTTTTGGAAAATGTACTTAAGATTGAGTAGGGTTTCATTAAAAAACATTATGATATTTTGGTAAAGTAATATTAAAATGTCTTTATTTTATGAATATTCAACATTGATCCTAAGAAGATGAAGAATAACTAGATTATTTTATTATTTCCTAATCTTCTCAGTTTACAACTTATTTGCACATTACAAAACTATGTACCAAAAACAATGATGGTTGTTCTTGTTCAAATATTTCTTGAAGATCATAATTTGGCTCAATTTTAAAAGTTGTTCCGGTACTTGATGTTTGATTCTAAAATAAAAAGATCATAACAGATGTATTGTTCATCTACAAATGAGTCTTCTTTCAGTTGTTACACAGGAAGAAATTACTAAATATTTTCTATTCAAGAAAATACCCCTATGTGTATTACTGCCACCACCTCCACCAATATTCTCGTTTTCAAAGATTACACAAGTTTTTTAATTGTATTAACATTAGATTGCCAGTGTACATTTTCAAAACTCCTGCATATCTCTCTACTTTCTGCTTTTATAGCAATCGATTGTCTAGCTATGGTTTTTTTAGTCCGTCGACTCAATATTGTAAAAAGGATGTTGACATACGGTGGCTCTAAAAGACGTTTTTGTTACTTTTATGATTCCTGTGTATGTCTATTATACAAAATCAATGTACCTGGATTAGAGGTACTTCTGCTTTTCAGAAATTTCCATTTATCTGAAATTGTTACAAGGTTTACTGTACAAAATAAAAAATTAAATATTACAGGTCATTTTCTAACTGTTCCTGATATACTATTTAGCAGAGGGGGCTATTTTCTCAGCTGAAAACTACCTCTACTTTCAGGTGTGTAGATGAGCCACAGGTAGTAAACATGAAATAAATAAAAATAATTATTGTTTTATAAATGTTCCGAAAAGTAAATAATATGAATTACATATTTATTTATATTATTTTGTTTGATTTTAATACTGCTCCCATCTGTTGAAGTAAATGCTTCAATTTTCTTGGTATTTGCCTTCTACAAAGAATTGTACCATGACTGATTATATACCTTTTTACATAAGAGCAATAAGCATTGTCCTCAAAATGCTGAGAAGAGACGTAATGAAGTTTAGCTAAAAATAATTTCTAAACAATTTGATTAATGGTTTGTAACCACTGTTCATATTAAGTGCTTGAGATTCGTAGAAGACCTAAAAAATAAAAAGCTTTAGAATACAACAATAGAAACATAAATAAAGTAGTTACTGTTACTTACAAATGGAAAGATTTAACATAAAATGACCAAGTAAAGCAAAGTTTTCATGATATTCATTATTTGTTAATGGTTTTGTAAAGTGTAGGTTCGTAAATAATATCTTTGGGGACTGACTTTGGGTAAATATTGTAACATAACCACTAAAATATGTCTAAAACTATTGCGCCAAGATGTAGGCAACACGTAATAAGGCGTCAAAATAGCGGAGTTTTCTAAAAGGCACTCAGAAAGCTG